GGCAGCGTCAACGGTAGAGAGGTCAACAGGCGGGAGAGGAGGGAGAAGAGGGAGGGGCGGGGAAGAGGAGGGAGGGACGGAGGGAGACGGAGGGAAGAGGAGAGATCATGGTGAAACAAGGGTTACTGTATAATTATAAAAATATTAATAAAAACTTAAAAATAAATAATATAAAAATTTAAATACAAAATAATTATTATTTAAAAGGCTGACATGACATTTAAATGATGTGTACATACACATCAGATACACATCAGATACAGTACCTAAACCCCTCATTTATTGGGGGTACAGTAGCAACCCCCTTTTTTTAATAGGGATGATTTTAGGGACAAAAACGTGCGCCTTCCCTTCCCGGGTTGGGTTAGGTTCCTATCAGAGTTAATATTTTGTCTGCTCTCTAATAACTTTTTTTTTTTTACCATAGTATTAATAAGTCTCTTTTAAAATTTTGATTGTATTAATGTTCTCTTTTAAACTCAGTTTTTATCAAACTTAAAATTTCAATTAAAAATCTTTTGAAATTTGAAAACCACCTGTGTGATCAATTAGATAAAAAAAACTTGAATATGTATATGTTTTGTTTTTTTTTACTATATATATTTTTTTAAAAAAATGGATTTACGATAACTCTCATGAATTGAGAGTAGACCCTTTAATTTTCACTATATGCTTTGTTAAAATTATTAGGAGAAAAAGTTATGAGATCTATTTCTATTATTTATTATTTACTATTTTATTATAGAAAAAGATTTTGTGAGGTGAAATTACTATACTTATTTATTTTTTGCTTATATCTATTGATTCTTTATGTTTTTAATTCATAACAATTTAGTATTATATTTAATTGTTGTAATTACACTCATTATAACAAATATATTTTGATTAAATTATTAGTTTTAAATTAAGTTTGATTTTATATAATATGATAATTAATTTATTAAATCTTATGAAATATTTTTTTTTATAATTATGATAACTTTGTTTAATTTTATTTGTTATCACAATTTTATGATATTTCACTGTAAATATGCACTACAATGAGGATAAATTTTATGTTATCTTAAGTATTAAAGTAAACAATGAATATGATATACATAAAGTCTTAGATTTAAATTTTATTGTGATTATTTAATTCTTACAAATAAAAAAAATTAACTAAATAATAATAGTAAATAATGAATATGTTTTATATTTATTATTCTTATTTAATTTTTATAATCATTTTGTATTATTTATATATTATAAAAATTATTTTATTATTTTATTGCCCTTGTTTCCTCATTTGTTTATTTATTTTTACTTCATAAATTATACATAATTATTATAATTAAGATAATCACTTATAGTATATATTTTAATTAAATTAATAAATTAAATCATTAAAATTTATATAAATTTTGATTTTGCATAATATAACAATCAATTTATTAATTTCTATAAAATATATTCTATATACACAAAATTTTTTGCTCTGCCACCTCTTTATGTCACCACGTAACCAATTTAATTAAAATATTTTTTAATGTTAAAAGAATAAAATTAAAAGTTAAGAACTTAAATTCAAAACTCTCTCTCTTTCTCGCACTTCTGTGACTTTTACGTGGCTTTAATTATTTTACAAGTCTTCCCTCCCGAGATGTCTCTCGGCCAAGGACGTGGCTTTAATTATTTTACAAGTCTTCCCTCCCGAGATGTCTCTCGGCCAAGGACGTGGCTTTAATTATTTTACAAGTCTTCCCTCCCGAGATGTCTCTCGGCCAAGGACGTGGCTTTAATTATTTTACAAGTCTTCCCTCCCGAGATGTCTCTCGGCCAAGGACGTGGCTTTAATTATTTTACAAGTCTTCCCACCCGAGATCTCTCTCGGCCAAGGATACGGCTTCTATCAATTCTTACGAGTTTTCATCACGAAAAAAGTAAATATTACACCAATAGATAACAGCAAGGAAAAACAATTCATTCAACAAGGCACTATCGGCCTGGAACAGTACATTCAAAAAGGGCACTATTGGCCCATCCATACAAAGAACAATAAAACGCTCAAGACCCCACCTCCGATTCCCCCTGAACCAGACCATCTTCAGGCACAGTTTCTTCGTACGCTGTTTCCTCTTCAATCGGCCCAGTCGGTCGCGCCGGAGCTTCCTCATCGGCTTGCTGGTCCGAAGGAATGGAGGACAGATCCACTAACTTACCCTGGAAAAAGTCTTTTGTCATATCCAGGTGAAAGTTAGGGGGGAAGTCGCCAAAGTAGCAGGCCTGCCGAGCCGCCTGAGCAAACCCAGCTTGATGCTGAGACAAGACCTTGTTGCGAGCCTTCTCCCTGTAAGACCCGAAAGCTATTTTCTCGGCCTCCAACTCCTTGCCCAGGACGACAACCTTCTCTGTTTCATTCTTCAAGGCTAGTTCCAGACGTTGGACCTTCAGAGCAAGGTCGTCGATAGTATGCCCCCGGCGGTCAAGCTCGGCCTGGAATTTACCGTTGGCCGTTTGGGCGTCGGTCAGCGCAGCAAGCAATTCTTGCAGGGACTTCTCCTGCTCGGCCAGTTGACGACGAAGCCCATCTGCCTCGCCATTCGGCTCCATCACAATACTTTGAGCCAAGGCCACGGCCCGAACTTGGAACTCACAGAAGAAATTCCATTTCTGAGCCAAACTCATGCGGCTCAAAATTCCTTGACCAGCCTCAGAAGTTAAGTCCTGGCTCAAGAAATCCTGAGCATTAACGTTA